ACCCACAAAGCCCCCATCAGCGCCCCCCATGACCCCATGGCACCCACCTCCCGGCCTCGTACAGCCTGATCTCCTCCAGCAGCACTGCCTCAGTGCCACCATCCCCGTTGTTGTCCCCGTTTTCATCCCCGTATCCCGCAGTGTCGCCGTGCTGCCCGTTGTCCCCAGGGCGTCGTGCGGCCGTCAGCACCTTCAGCACCCGCCCGTCCTCCGACCCCACAAACAGCACCGTCTGGTTCCCCCGCGGCCCCGCGCCCACATCCACCGCCAGCTGCGTCAGCCTGCGTGCACCGAGACGCTCGGCGTCCCTTTTTTGTGTCCCCAGGGCCGCCCCACGTGTCCCCCACCTCGCTGCCCCGTCACCTGGTGCCAGTTTGGGTGAAGAGCGGCCGTCCCCCGGCGGGTGCCACCGCCCCGTGCAGCAGTGGGTGCTCTTTGGCGAAGGACAGCGTCTCATCCGGAATGTCCCCAGAGGTGACGACGGCAGCGGCCGACCCCATCCCTGCACAGCAGCCGGGTCTGGGGACATCGGGCACACGAGGGGACGTGAGCGTGGGGACGCAGCTACAGGAGGACATGGGTACGGGGACAGATGGACGTGGGGACGCAGGGACGTGGCTACGGGGAGGTGGGGACGGGGAACACGGCTGCAGGGCAGTGGGACACGGCGAAGGGACACGGGGCACCTGGGCCAGGGCACGCGCTCCTCGGGCACTGGGGGCCACGGGGCTGCGGCTCCGCGGGGGTCGGCGAAGGGTCCCTCAAAGGCGCGCTCCACATCCGCCAGGTAGAAGGCGCAGACGGCTGAACCCGGGATGCTGCGGGGTGACATGGGGCTCTGCCTGGGGACACCCGGTGGCCCCGACCTCCGAGTCCCCGTGTCCCCACACGCAGCCATGTCACCACGTCTGCCCTCAGCCCACGCTTACGTCGCCTCTGTGCCCTTGGGCACCCGGCTCCCTGTTTCCCCATCTGCCTGTGCTCACGTCCCCGGTGTCCCCACGTTCCATATTCCCAAAGTCATGTGCCTGTGTCCCCATGTCCCCATATGCCCAAGTCCCCAATATCCCCTGTGTCACCAAGTCCCCAGTGTCCCATATCCCCATCTCCCCAACCCACATGTCCCCAAAGCCATGTCCCCAGTGTCCCATATCCCCGTGTCCCCACAGTCACGTTCCTGTGTCCCAGTGTCCCATGTCCCCACAGTCACGTCCCCACATCCCCGTCCTCACATCCCTGCTGTCCCCATACCTGTTGCGCTGCGTCCCAAACACCGCCAGCACCGCGGGCCGTCCGTGCAGAGTGTGGGGCGCGGTGACGGCCTCGAGGACATCGAAGTGGAAGGGGACGTCCCCGGGCACGGCGCACTGCAGCCGCTTCTTCAGGAACGACGTCCAGCGCCGCTCCAGGACCCGCGGGGAGCCGCCGGCGTCATTGCGGCACACGCGGCCCACGCGGGACACCGGCACCTGCGGCGGGAGCAGCGCCCCCAGCGGCGGGGGTGGGAGCTGCACTCGCTGCCATGGGAACAGCGCCCCAGGCGGTGGGGGTGGGAACAGCGGCATGGCAAGGGGCCGGGGTCAGGGTCGGGGTCGGGGTGAGGATTAGGGCCAGGGCCAGAGCTATGGGGTCAGCTTCAGTGTCTGGATTGGGGTCGGGGTTGCTCCCGTGGAGCCACAGTTATGGATGCCCCACCTTCCCCGGCAGCCCCAGCTCCGCCGCCATCTCCCGGAAGAAGAAATAGACATGTGCTCCGTGGGGCATCGCGTGGACAAAGTGCGGCTCTGGGGACAGCGCGGCCATCAGCACCACTGCGCCCCAGCACCCGCAGTGCCCACAGCCCGATGTCCCCACGCACCCCTCAACCAGCGGGAGCTGTACTTGATGCTGCGCAGCGCCGGGCCGCGCATGCTGCGGTAGATGACGGCATCGCTCGCCTGGAAGTCCGCCACGGTAGCAGAGTACAGACGGTCGTCTGTGGGGTCAGCACACGGGGATGGTGAGTCGGGCAGTCCAACACCCGCCCCACATCCCCACAGCCCCGTATCTCCACATCCCCAACGCCCCTCTGTCCCCTCGGTGTCACCCACCGGCAAAAGTGGCTGCGATGCTCTGCCGTGTATCGAAGGGGCAGCGAGCCTGTCCAGGCAGCTCCTCGCCCTCCTGCTGTAGGGTCAGTGCCTGCGGGACCCCATAGCGCCCCATGGGGTCTCACAGTGTCCAATGGAGGTTCCATAGTGCCCCGATGGGGCTCCATCCCATACGGCCCCAATGGGGTCCATAGGGTGCAGTGGGGCCCCATTCTGCCCCACGGGTCCCCCCCCACCTGGTAGGTGCGGCACACGGGGCTGAAGGCGTTGGTCCCACAGACAAAGAGGGTCCGGGCATCACGGGGCAGCAGCACACGGATGTGGTTGTGGCAGCCGTCCTGTGGGGCGGCCCCATCACCTCCCCATCATCACCATCCCATCACCGCACCATCACCTCCCCACCATCACCTCCCCCTCATCACCACCCCACCATCACCCCACAACCCCCTGCCCCATACACCTCACTGCCCCACGCCCCCCATACTCACACTCCACTCATACTCCACACACCCATCACTCCCCCCACCCCCCCACATCCCCCACCCCCCCACCCCACACACTGCCCCCCACCTGCACCTCTCCCCGCACAGCACAGCCGGCTCTGTCCCGCGGTTCCCAGGTGACGCTCTGGGGGGGGGAACACAGTGGGTGGCACCGGACCCCTCGGGG